TTTCCCTAAAAGAGATTTTGTGTATTTGTATTCTCCTTCCTCCTGGCTCTTGCATGTTTTGTTATCTGGACATTCCTGAGTTATGGCTGCCAGACTTCACCAAGACTGAATGTAGTGGTAACACCTGAGACTGGTCTATCCTGCTGTAAGCCAGACAACATTCTGAGTCCTTGCTATAAGCCCTTGGTCCTCTGCAGAGTTGATGCTCTTCTGAGACACCATTCCTCTTCCATGAGCATCACCTACTTTGTTTCTAGGTATAGGACCTTGTTTTTGGTAGTGCTGAAACCTGCGTGTGAGCTTGCCAAGGATTTTTGTCTGTTGTGCAGAACTGGGCTGTCACTGTGATTGTTTAATTCTGCTACTGTTTGTACCAGTCACTCGCACAGTTAATGTACCTAGTAGTAATTAATGTAGTATGTAAACTAGCAGTAATTTTGTATTTTTACAGATGGATAAAGGTACTGAGTCGCTTAGGAGGACCTGAGAGTCTTTCAGGAGGGGTTGTATCCCTCAATACTGTTGTCTGGTCCCTCCCTTTAAGTGTTCAAGGGCAGGTTGGATGGGGCTCAGAGCAACCTGGTCTAGTGGGAGGTGTCCCTGTCCATGCAGTGGGTTGGATCTAGATTATTTTTAAGGTCCCTTCCAACCCAGACCATTCTATGATCCTGTGAAAGTGTTTACTGTTGCCTTGGTATCAGACTATCTCTAGGTATGAGGAATATCAGCCTGAAGATGATCTTAAGAAAACTGTTAGTGATTTCCTCTCTAAAGTGGATGATCCAAAACTCCAGAATTCTGAGGTAAGAAATTCCCTGACGGGTGTTGACAGGTATCTCGTGTGAATAAGGGATGTGGAGAACTGAGAAGGGGGAAGACAGTAAAGGAATAAAGCTTCCTGCTGTCTTGTGTTTCCATTTCTTCCCTGATTCCTAGAAGTTGAACCCTCCAATTGACTCTAGGTATTAGCCACCTCTACCGCATGACTCTGGTGGAGTCCTTTCCTGCCCACTTTTTCGGGCCTTTTCTGCTCACTTTGCAGAGAGAAGTCGTCTTAGTGAAGGAGGGGGGCATGGGCAGAGGGGCTTGTTGGCAAAGCCCCTGCTCGGCTCCACCCGTGTTTCGTTTCTCTGCCACAGTTCCTAAAGTTTGTCCGCCAAATCGGAGAAGGGAGGGTATCGATCGAAGCTAATCAGGTGACCCACAGAGACCAAGATCAGGCAGAGCAATGGGCAGCTGAGTTTATACAGCAGCAGGTAGGAGCCCCAGCCCTGTGTGCCCTGAAGGAGGAGAGCTTGTTGTCACAGTGTGCAGTCTGGGACTGAGGGAGAGTGGCAAGCCCAGCTCTCAGCCATGCTCTACTAATGACTAGGTTGGGGGAGGCAAGGGAGGGGCTGTTGGGATCTTAGCACAGTCTAGCCAGGATCTGCCAAGGCATCTGGACAGTGTGAGTTTTCTCATTTCCCATAGCACCTGGGAGGAAAGGGGTATCCAAAAGAACTCTTCTGCACTTGACAGGCCATCAGGTCTTGCTGATGGGGAGGGAGGTCATCACAGACCCTCCCGCTGTTTTGGGATGTGCCCCAAGGTTGCCAAATTCTAAAATGAAAACATGTTTCTGTTTCCAAATTCTCAGGGGGCATCTGATGGCTGGGTGGATCAGTTTGCACCATCTGGAAGCACGTCAGCTCTTGATAAGGAATTTGAGCAGGCAAAGACTGCTGTGGAGGTAAAGTCTCATGGAGGAGGAGGGCTGGGGTGCCACCCAGAGCCACCCATGGCGGGGTTACCTCTCTTTTCTTTGCGTGCTGTGAGGAGGGCTAGAAACGTCTAAGAGGGTGTTCTCTGGGGTGTCTTTAGAGCTCAGTTTAAGGTTGAGGTACTGTAGTCACTTTCTGTTCTCCCTTCAGTCAGATGTGGACTTCTGGGACAAACTCCAGGCAGAATGGGAGGAGATGGCCAGGAGAGATGCAGAGGCCCACCCTTGGCTTTCTGATTATGAAGACCTCAGCTCCTCATCATATGACAAGGTAATAGAGAACAGGGTCCCTTAGCTCTAGCACTGCAATGGCCTGCCTTAAGGAGGCTGACAGTGTGTCTGTATCACAGGTAGGTTCCACACACCCCAAATGCTGCTGGATTCCTTCTCACACTGATCTTTTGCTGCCACTTGTACCCAGATCACCTAGACAGTAAACAAATACTGTTTTCACTTCTGCTTATCTACAAATGTGATCTTCCAATTAATTCTGGGATTCTTTGCAATGAGAGCAAGTGTTGTTGCCTCTGTCCAAGCTAATAGGGGACATACCAGATGTTCAGTCTCTGTTGCAGGTCTGGTCTGGGGGAATTTTTCAGCATGGAACAGGCAGGAAGAATAGCCATTGTTCCCTGATGTGCTGCAAACTGGCAGAGAAGGCAACATGCTGACTGGTCTGCAGTTTGTGTTTCTGATGCAGCAAGACTAGACTGTGCTGCACTGTAGAGAGGCTTTTTTCTTCCTGAGCCCATGTCTTAGCATTAGCCCCTCTCTGCCTTCCCTGCTAGGGTTACCAGTTTGAGGAGGACAATCCCATGAGAGATCACCCAGATGCATTTGAAGAGGGACGGAAGCGCTTGAAGGAAGGTGACCTCCCCAATGCTGTCTTGCTCTTTGAGGCTGCAGTGCAACAGAAGCCAGATCATATGGAGGTGAGTGAGAGCAGAGGTAACAGGCTTTGGCCAGGTGTCCTGCTACTTGGTTCCTTCCCTTGTCAGGTGTCCTGGTGCATGTACAAAACTCACTCATAACACTGGTGTGTTAGGAGCTATGCAGGGTATATGAAAACATTGCATTTTCCTGTGACTCTGGGTATGTTGCTGGCGTATGTGAATCCCCTGTGGGCAGGGTGGTTTATGACAAAGGTCAGTTACAAAATACACAAAGACTCTGACCCAGAGCTGTGTAAAATCTTTGGAGCACATAGGACTGTGCATGGAGCCAAGACAAGGAGTTCTCATCTTCTAAGTTGCTTCTGTGTAAGCCTTTACTGTCATTGCAAGTTTGGAGATGCTTACAGCAGATGATAACTGCTGCCGATATCTGTATTAAAGACTAGTTCTGTGCAGCTTCTTAGACAGGGGTCCTGGTTAGGTCTTCCATCTAGATGCCAGGAGAAGATATAATCCAGAAGGGTTGAGGGACATGGCTTGAGTGTCCTCACAGTCTTAATTTGAAGTTGTGAGCCAGTGAATGGTTTTTATACAAGTTTCCAGCTCAGCGAATGCTTTTCCATAAAGCACTTCAGCTCCTGCAGGATGGATTGAGAAATGGGATAGGCAGTGTGCCTTTCTTCAGGGGTAGAGTATGTGGATAGTTTCAGGAGGAAGAGGAAGAAGGCAAATACACCCATGTTGCCTGTTTCTGGATTGCCTGAGTTGAAGACCCAGGGTTGCTAAATTCTAAGTGTGTCTGATTGAAACCCTGCTAATTGTATGTGATCGGAGTTACCTGATTTGTTAACTGTGTGGCTTAGATGAGAGTGATCTCAGAACAGGGGCTCTTGGCTTCCAGGAATACAGACATACCCTTCCTAGGGTACTGGAAGTATGTGAAAAGTAAGCAGAGGTTTTGGAGACCTCCTTGAGGTTTAAAGTTGTCAGAAGGTGTTGCTAATTCTTTAGAATCAGCACTCCTCTCATAAACAGTGTGGGCTGTAGGCTGGGCATGACAGTAGTGGATGAAACCTTAAGGGGAGAAATCTTGAGCCAATTCTGGCTGGCTGTATTGGAAACATTCTAAATTCTGTTATGACTCTGCAGAAAGTACAGGAGAAGATAAGACTTGAGCCATAGTGCAGTAATCAAATAAGACTTGAACAGTTGCTCTGAAGGAAATGTCATGGTTGCTTTGGTCCAAATCACAACTTTACTTTGAGTCTCAGCTCTTCTGCCTGCAGAGCACTCTGCAGTTATCACTGGTCAGTTCTTACTGAGTTGCAGTGGGCTGTATGGTGAGGCATTAGAGACTTGAGACAGTAAATTGCCTCTTGTGGTGGCTTATGCAGTGTGTCTGGATCTTTGATAATGATTAAGGCAGTGGATACTGCCTTTTGTTACTTGTGGTCAAAAAGCAGGTACTTCATGCTGACTATCCAGCCTGTTTTTGAGCATGGGGTGTGGTTATCAAATAAAGGGAACAGGTACTTTGAATTTAGTGCCTTAATTAAATATTCCCTGTGTCAGCAGCTTGGAGATGGATGTGGTTTTCATGTACTGGTGTCATGATAATTGAGGATTTAGTAAAATAACAGTGCTTCTAATTCCAGAGGTCTGATGGTCAGCTTCTGAAGATTATCACTTGCTAGTGAGTCACAGAACCATAGAATGTGTGTGGTTGAGAGGGGCCTTTAAGGGTAATCAAGTCCACCCCCTTCTGCAGTGAGCAGTATCTCTTTAACTAGATCAGGTTGCTCAGAGCCCAGTCAAGGCTGCCCTGGATTGTTTCCAGGAGTGGAGCCTCTACCACCTCTCTGGGTAACCTGTTCCAGTGCTTCACCACTCTCATAGTAAAGAACTTCTTCCTGATAACCAATCTAAATGTACCCTGCTCTAGTTTAAGGCTATGGACCACTGCACAAGAATATACAGCTGCCCACCTTGTGGCTCTCCTCATTGTTAGCACTGCTGCTGTGCTGTTTTGCTCATAGGAAATAAGAGATCTGCTTTTCCCTTCTCCTGTGCAGTTTGACCACAGGTAGAAGTAAAAAGTGAAGATTCTGTGACTTAAGTGTAAAACTACCAGCAGTTGCTTTATGCTTGATCTCCAGGTAGACATTCACTTCTCTTATTCACAACTACAGGAATGC